CATTTACTCTGAACCTATTTAAGTTTCTTTGTACAGTTTAACACAAAATAAGGCCGAGTTTACACTGTCAGGTCTTGATGTCCAATTCTGATTTGTTGCCTGAATCAGATTTTTTTGGCTTGACCATTTACACGTTGTTTTAATTGTGACCCATATCCGATTCATGTGTTTACACTTGCCATACAATTCACAAAGTGCTTAATTTGTGAATTACGAAGTCCCGGAACAGATCGCGGTGACGTGTCTGCCATGTTACCCAAGAAGGAGAAGTGTCGCGCACAAAAGTGGGAAGGGGGTTGGTGATGTTTGGCGGTGTATGGCACAGGGCTGTTGTGGATGAAAGTGAAGAGCAAGGGGTTGTCGTGGACGAAAGTGGAGAGGGTTGGGGAGTTGCGGAAGAAAGTGAACATCAGACGGGGGAGGGGGGCTATTGAGGAGGGGGATCGGTAAAATGAGGTGCCAGATGTGGATCCAGCGTGTTCCGGCACAAATTAAGCCCTAAATTTATGATGTTGTGCATGCGTAAAGACAGGTTCTTGCAACCGCGCCACACTAGCCACAATGACAAAAATTGTCTTGCATTTAGATCTGCGAAATATGCGAAGTTCGCTCAACTTTAAAATGATTTTGAGGCGGAGAAGGAGGGAAAGGGCCGTCATCGCAGTTTGCACCTATAGTTTATATATGATGTTCTCCACCATTCAGAGGAATATGTGGGTCTGAGAGAGATCTCAGGTATGGCTGGAGCAAATTGTGACGGGCTTTAATGAGGAGCAGTGGGTCTAAAATTTTAAAATGAGCACACACATGCTCTTCTTTCTACGTCATTATAATGGGGAGATGCACTACATTGTCGCAAGTTTATGACGTACAAATCGGAATACCTCAATAAATCCGATCTGCCTGTTTACATGATAGTCGCATTGTCACATATCCGACTTCTATCCTATTCATTTCTACTTATGAAGGAGGCCATTCATTTCCACATATGAAGAAGGCCTGAAACCGATATCTGATTATCTAAATGCATGAGTTTTTTTTTTTTTTTTTCCGTGTTTAGTCATAGAACAGATCTGATCTGTGTCACCTATGAGGAATTGGGTCACATTTATCTGGCAGTTTAAACAGGGCCTAAGATACTTTGACAAATACTGATTGCTGGTACCCATTGACTTCCATAGTATTTTTTTCCCTACTATGGAGTTTGATGGGTGCCAGCAACCAGCATTCGGGAAAATATCTTATGGCGTGTTAAAAAAAAAGAAACTTAAAGATTTAAAAACACATGACAGGGAGTAAATGATGAGGTAATGTTCATTTTTAAATGAACTGGTTTAATAAAACTTTAAAGGTAGAATTATATCACGATCTGTCATTATTACCTGCTCTAAAAAATGGGGAAACATGCACTGATTTTATAGAAAAGAAGTGTTTGACAATGTATATGTATGCTGTTATTACACTTACTGTATCCACTCAGCTTTGTCCCTATGGTAAGTATATTTATTCTCTTTGTCATTAAACTCCCCTGGAGTGTTTTGAGGTGAAGCTTCTGCTTAGGAGGGCTGAAAAATAGATGGAGCAGAGAATGTCAGCCTAAGATAAACACCAGCATAGTGAAGTGGCTCTCACACGCTTGACAAGACAGCAGAAAAAGAGAGAGGCAAAGAGGAAGAAAGGTTGCGGCTCTAATGCGGCTGATCTTTGATTTTTGTTTCCCCCTTCTTCCAGCACTCTTTCCTAGTTTGCAAACCCCTATTATTTTGTTCCCCAACTTCTGGGTTGCTGCCGGAAGTGGTGTTAGTGAGGCCAGCAGGGGGCGCCCAACCTGCGGTCTGTGTGGGTCCTAATGCCCCAGTATAGTGACGGGGACTCTATACTGCTCAGTGAGCGCCGTCTTTCGGATGAGACGTTAAACCGAGGTCCCGACTCTCTGTGGTCGTTAAAAATCCCAGGATGTCCTTCGAAAAAGAGTAGGGGTTTAACCCCGGCATCCTGGCCAAATCTGCCCACTGGCCTCTGTCCATCATGGCCTCCTAACCCTCCCCATATCATGATTGTCATATCATCACTCTGTCTCCTCTCCACCAATCAGCTGGTGTGTGGTGTGCGCTCTGGCGCAAAATGGCTGCCGTCGCGTCATCCAGGTGGATGCTGCACACTGGTGGTGGATGAGGAGATTCCCCCCCATTGTGTAAAGCGCTTTGAGTGCCCAGAAAAGCGCTATATAAATGTAACGAGTTATTATTATTATTATTATTATTCTAATCTCCCCCTCCTTCTCCTGGTGTCACAGTCGCCATGTCTTTTCTTACACTTTCCAGACCCTGATTTCCAGGGTGGAGTCTTTTGACAGGTGGCTGATGGGAGTTTGTGTGCGTAATGAGGAAGGAAGTCTGACAGAGCGAGGTTGTATCAGCGTTACATCACACCTAATTAATAAAACAGGCCTGCACAAATACAAAAAAAAAAAGAAAAGAAAAAAGTGTGATTAATGGATTAATGTCATCGCTGGCACGCAGCCGTAGCATTAATGGCCGCATGGGGTAAACACACAAACACACTCCGAGGCGCTTTATCTCCCTACATCACTTAATGCGTTCGATTCTTTATTATGAATAGAAGAAAGGAAAACAGCCACAATAAAAAAGGATGTAAGAATGTCACGCGCAAAAGGGAAAAACGGCCGAGCGGAATGCGAAAAGACAGCCGCTATATTTAAACGGCAGTATAACGACGGCAACTTATAAAAAGTTATGAAAACACATTTCGGATTATCCCGCTCCAGCTCAGTCACAATCAGTGACTCACCCCCGATCCCTGAATCATGACACTCATTCCAATGGATATAGATTGCGCTCTCTAGTAATATCAACCTCATGGGAGCCCAATACTGGGAGGAAACCCAGTCAGGAAGCCAGAATGAGTCAAGCTCCATCTGCTCTATAAAAACACACATATGCCTTGATTGGAACGGCTGGCTTTTAGAAACAATATATGGTTTGCAGTGCATTCTGCGAGATGATGGTGGCAAATAATATCAAATTTTAGGTCAAATAAATCCAGGTCTTGAAATAACGACTGCTTTGTTTGATGGTCAGCGCTGTTGACCTTGTAGGTCTGTGTTTCAGAGTTCGGTTGCATCATTATTAGCACTAAAACAGAGCTGGGGCTATTAGTTATTCCGTTAGGAGCTGTGAGCCGGGCCGGCCGTGTTTGTCTGGTTTTCATTGGGGTAAACATTTGTTCCAGTTGTAGATGTTGTGCGGCAGGAACATGAATCAGGGACGAGAGGCGGAAAGAGCTCTGACAGCTGCAGCTCATTACCACCACCATTACTGCTATAGGGGGCTGCTGGGGGAAATTCCTCCTTCCAGGGAAAACGTTCCTGTTTACCATACAGCACCGTGGATCAGGTCCCGCACACGGAGATGCAAGGCAATCACATGCAGGCTTGTGCACACGCACAAAACGAACCAAAACGTGCCGTTTTACACACACACACGTTTTTATGTCTGCGGTCATACACGCAAAGACACACTCGCTTCCTCTCTCACACACTAACAATCGGTCTTTCTTGAGAGCTGATACTAGTACCTCCACCCCAACCGCACACCGTGCCGCACACACACACACTCACATGTTCCTTCAATCACGACTGACTCATGGCTGCTTTACGTCATTCCGTCCAATCAGACAGAGTTCCATGAGCCCATTAAACTGAAAGTTGTTTTCTTTTACTTTGGTCATTCTTTCGCCACTACATCAAAGTCAAGCGTTCAGTCATAATCAAGCTCTTCACCCACATCTGTGCATTCATCGTGCAATCACAGTTGCCCATCATACATCTCCAGCACAAAACACACACCACAAAATCTTTATCTTGCCTGGGAGATTCAATCACTGTCTGTTTCGACCAATGATAATCTGAAGAAAATGCTTTCAAGATCCAAAAAAAATGCACATGGTCAATACTGGTGCTTACATCAAACCAGGAAACTATTGAGTTAAAGCATGTCATTTGAACTGAATTCTTTGGGACATATTTTGAGCATATTTTTAGAATTAAAAATTAAAAGGAAAAAATATTGTTTTCTTTATTTTCTTTAACATATAATAACAAGCTTTTTATCATTTCTAATACAATTTTCATTAATTAATTAATTTATTTCTTTATTTTTGCAAGAATTTAAGTCTTTTAAAATATTAAATCTGAAATGCAGAGCACTCCCCAGAGATGAAATGTCATGGAATCTATGATGAAATAATAAATGATTAAAAATAATTAAAAATAATAATAATAATAATAATTAAAAATAATATGTTTGTTATTATACATATATACAGTGCTCAGCATAAATAAATAAACCCCATTTAAAAAAAAATTCTCCATTTCTCAGTGAATAGAAGCCATGTATTTCAGTGCATTTAAACAAAACAGACTCATTAAACAGATAAATTTATTATAATAATAATTAAGTCAGCCAAACATATTGAGAAACTGAAAGATAATAAATACAAATAAATGCAAGCTAAATATTGCAACAAAATAAACTACAAACTACAAAATTTCAACTCAATTTTTCTTTTTTTTTTTTGTTGTTGTTTCTCTTGATTTTTCATCTTTTTTAAATTTTGTATTTAATAATTTTCTATAACATAAATTTGGGTGTACTAGTTTTTGAACCGTTATCGTGGATTATTTTGTTAGATAAGCTCCAGAATTGGCTTCAGAGCTGACTAATTTATATGTACACATATAATATTGTATAGCTTCCTATTAAAAAGAGGAATTTAATAGATATAATTGTGAAGAGTGTACTTATGTAATACCATCTCATTCTTAAAGAAGAATGTTTAAATATATAATCATTATATTTAAACATTCTTCCTTGGGAATGAGATGATAATACATTTTTAAAACCATCTGTAACCAACATAATTCAGCTTTTTTACTTTTAAAGAGGGAGTTATTAAAAATATTATGTCATAATACTCACCCTGATGTTGATCCAAACCTGCATGATCTATTTTCTTTTAGCTGAAAAAAGAGAATGTTTGAAGTATGTTAATAATCAAACAATTTTGATTAGCACTGACTTGAATGAAAAGAAAGGGATTTTTCAAAACATGCTATGTTATGTTCAACAAAAGAATCTCAATCAGGGTTGGAACAACATGAGGGGTTAAATGATAACAGTTTCTTTTTTAATAACATAAAATTTAGGCAAACTACTCTTTTAAACCTGAGTTGTATATATGAATGTATCTTTACCACACCCAGACATCAAACCTCAAAGGTTAACATTCCTTCCAATCTAACCTGCACCTGATTTGACAGTTTTTGGTTTGGATGACCGCAACATACAGCACACCTGATCAAACCGGCTAATGTTTTAATTTTTCCGCTGCCTTTCTCTGAAAGCATAAATCAAAAGAGATGAAAAAGCACCACGTGTTTTGACTGCTCCCTCCTTCTCTGACCTATGCCAATTTTTATCTCAACCTGCTTTAACTTTGTAGATCAGACTTTAATTTTGAAGCGGGTCTGTGGGACAGTGATGAATTGGATATATCAAGCAGGGCTTAAATTACCCTCTCCCTGGTGGCAGAGGATGGGAAGGTGCTGGAGAAAGAGGTATGAGAGCGGGAGGGGGGCGCTCCATGACCTAGTAACAGGCAGAGAAAGAGGGCTGGTCAGCACTTGCCCTCTCAACCCTGCAAGCAAGCACACCCAGAAAGAGAGAAGGAGTCAGAGAGAGAGAGAGAGAGAGAGAGAGAGAGAGAGAGAGAGAGAGAGAGAGAGAGAAAGAAAGAGACAAAAGAGCAGCCCCCAACACTTAAGGTTCCTCTTCTGAGGAAGAAGGACATACCAGAGTGTGAGACACATCAGCGGTGAGAGGCAGAGGAAATATTGCGCCTCTCTGAAGAGGCCTGCAGTCCTTTTCTTCCTCTGAGAGCACTTCAACTTTCAGGGTTGAACAACAATTGGGAGACAAACTAGATGCATTGTGAACCAGTTTTTATTTGTGGGATAGTTAGCTACAGTCTATATGTGCATCTGTGATAACAACAACAACACATGTCAGGTCATAACTTTTTGACTGAGTGGCTGATTTGTATTAAGTTGTACTGTCTCATTCGTGCTTTTTAGCCCAATGAGGGGAAGGATTAGGGGTGGGGTTTGTAGAAACACCTCCTATTTAAATCATACATTTTCATATGAATGAAATCAAATGAGATCGAGCTGAATAAGAATAATAATGTAATGACTTGAGGCCAGTTCTTGTAAGTTGGATACTTAAGACACAATTAAAAATATGACGTAGTTGTCAAAATAGTATTTTGGTTACACGACCTCATATGTTGTCTTTGTTACAGTGTAATTGTACATTTAATTATGTGTAATACTTTTTAACAACAGATACTTATTGTATGGTAATGAGTAGGCCCACCGAAACTGCACGTGCAGAAATCTGCAGATTTCCGCAGAATTTTTGGCCCATCATGGAGTCTACTTGTGTAAATGTGTGTAAATGTATATTTATTCAGTTTTTAAATTAATTTCAGTAATATTATTGACTAATATGAAAATTAATATATTTTATGTATTTTAGTAGAAATATTATGTGAGAGACTTGCTTTTTTACCAAATAAGTAGATCCAATTGAATTTGCATTGTAAACATTAAATAAAAGTTGAAAAAGTATTTTTTTATTAAGTTTTTAGTTATGATACTCCCAAAATAATTCAGCATAAATCCGCAGATTTTTTACAAAATTCTCAGCATAAATAGTAAAAAAATGAGGTATTTTTTTAATGCATATTTTACGTTTTAATCTTCAGAGTGGTACCTGTAACGTGTAACGGAAAAAAAATAAAATGTGTTTTTTTTTCACACACACTTGTATTCTATCTTTGTAGGGACCTCTTACTGTAATTATTTTTTATACTGTACAAATGGCCTATCATATTCCCAACCCTACACCTATACCCAATTACAACAGGAAATGCATTACTGTATGATTTATAAGCTGTTTTCATAATGACTAAATAAAATAAAACAATAAACGTCCCCACAAGGTCAAAAATAACTGATATTACTAAAATCAAGAGGACGTTTGCTCTTTTATATCTAATTAGACTGACTCCAGTATCCAGAATGAAGAAACTCAACTGAAAATAAACAAGACAATATGCATATACAGTGCTCAGCATATACAAGTACACCCCTCACAAATCTCTCATTCGAATTAATATTTTCTATTGGAAGCTTTACAATGTTATATTCGTGCATGTGCAGATACATAAGATCAGTAGTCAGTACTGAAGCCAAATCTGGAGCTTATCCAACTAAATAGTTTACAATAACAGTCCGAAAATTAGTAGATCAAATTTATATGTTAGGGAAAATATTATTATTATTATTATTATTATTATTATTATTATTATTATTATTATTATTAAAGAGCAAGAGAAACAAAACAAATATAAAATGTTGAAATTTTGTAGTTTGTAATTTTTTGTCAAAATTTAGCTTAAATTTAAATGTCTTATTTTTCCATTTCTAAAGATGTTCTGTGACTAAAATTATATAAATATATCTGTTTAATAAATCTGTTTTGTTCAAATGCACCAAACTATTTTACATATATTCACTGAGAAATGGAGAAAAATCTTCATTTTTTTAAAATGTGGTGTTCTCAGTTATGCTGAGCAGCACTATTAATTAATTACACTTTAATAAACTATAAACAGAACTTCTGTTAGTGATATAAAGTTATATTTAAAGCCAACTAAATATGTACACAACAAAACACTAAAGACTTTATATACAGACAATTTCTAGTATTTACTTTTATTACATTTTAAATGTCATCTTGTACTAAACTGTATAACCTGCTACATTAAAAATAATTTATCATTATTGTATCAGAGATTCATTAAAACTTCAAATGAAAGAAAGAGCAAGCGAAATGTAAAACTGCCAATTTTAACAGACAGAAGGAAAAAAGAAATCTCCCTAATATGGGATCTGCCATTTCTTGAATAGGCATTTGCTGTGTGTAACTGAGTAAATGTTTTGTCTCTCCTGAGGAGATCTCTCTGATGCCTAGCCTCTTTACACACACTACTAGGAACAAGTGTGCCGTGAAGATGCGCGGTGCAGGAGAGCGTGAGCTCCAGAAGCGGGAAATCTCCTAGTTATAATTACCACACATGCTTTTTACAGCTGCTCAGGATCTAGTCCTAGCCATTGTTTTTCAGAAGGTAAGGATATGATGGTAAAAACACTTCCCCTCTTCGAACCACACAAATAAATAAATAAATATATGGCCTGGTACCAAGCTGAGCTAATGCTGCGTGGGTCTTGTCTGATCAGACTGACCCTGGCCTAACACAGCTGGGTCTTCTATTCTCATGGGTGGTGTCGCTGTATATTAACCTTTATTCATAAGAGATGTTCCTCGAAACAATGAGCTCCTGCTGCTCCCCTGGGTCTAACCTGTCTTTGTTATGATGCTCCATACCATATTGTTGTGTTTTATATTGTATATTGCGTTGTGTTTAATGTTTGGAGCAACTCAGCAAGACAAATCCCCGGTTAGAGCAGCCAATAAACCTCAACTTCAACTTTAACTTCAGCTCTCCTCGTCTGACTGATGACTAATGCTCTCCACTCATATATCGATCACATCCAACATCCAACCGAGCCTCTGCTCCATATAAACCCGCTCTTGTCGGTATGATATCAGTATATATAATCAACAATGCCATCAGTAATGCTGACCACACTTAAAGATATCATAACATGCATGCATTGCAAAGGATTTGTTTCAATTCTACTGAATACAGAAAATTACTTTTAATATATTTTAAAGGATGACAAATCATTTACATAATGCTGCTATTAAGTATAACAGCCTTAAACTTTATCAGTAAATTGACAATAAATAAATAAATAAATAAATAAAATGTTTTATTTATGCTAATTTTTTTTTTCTTTATGATTTTAAAAAAGGTTAAAATATGCTTCAAATACACTTAGTGGCCAATGTTAATTAAGTAAGTGGCTTATAAACGAACCCCGACCTGGATTTCACGAACAGACTGACTCAAGTTAACAGTTTCTGCAGGAGTAGAAATCATGTTGTCGCACGACTTTATATGATCGTATATACTGAGATGCTGGATAAATTGTGATCCCTCCTGTGGATCTGTGTCGTGTCAGCTTGTGCTCTGAGAGGAATCACGAAATGGAAAACAGGTGTTCAAGTGGAGAGAGATTATAAAGCGTCTGGAAATATGATGAACTTTTTTTTTTTTTTTTTTTTTGCATTTAGTACAGGGCTACAACGAGACAACCGACGTCAAGTTATCAAGTTATTTATATTTTAATGAATGAATTTGCGGCTTTACAAAGGGGCTGATTGATTAAATGATGAAGTAATACGCAACTGACGTTTTTTCCCCATCTTAAACTTCTCGCAAATTTCATCGCACAAAGAGTAAAACGAAATGACTATTCAATTTATGTGACTGCGGTGGCTTAGATTAAATTCAATGAAACGATTTAAGACCGATTTTTTTTCTAATTAAAAGTTGTTCAGGCGAATTAGGATAAATGCACACGAACAGAAATGTTCATGCTTGTAAAAAAAGTGCGCAAAAAGTATTTATTTCTTATGTTTACTCACTTTTTCTTTAATTTCGTGTTTGCATTAGACGCTTTTGGAAACCAGACTCATTGAAATGATGAGAGAGCTGAGGCTAAAGTCTGAGTGTGGACAGATGAAATGTATTAGACTAATCTCCGGTTTTAAATTAAAATAGACTTAAACATTCCAATAAAATATTATTTTAGACGATAAAGTGTATTATAAATATGTGTGAGATTAAAGTCATGCTGCCAAGCTTTATGACTCGTATCCACAGGGGCTATTTCAGACTTTGTTAACAGTTTAAAGGTAGAGAAGAACTCTTAAATCTCTCCGACTTGCGAAAGCTGTACTAATATGTGGAGGCAATGATAACAAAAGCACAATTAATACAATTGATGTATTTATTATTTTATTCGTGCTATCATTTTGTGATATTTGTTTATGAATTTTAAAGTTATAGTAACTTTTTTGAGAACGAGACCTCATGTGTGTTCTTGATCACATCACACTTGCACTTATTTCTTCATATTCGACAAGAAATTTGATGTAATGAAAAGTTACTTCTTGAAACTGAATTAACAACAGTTTAAACCAGTAATGTTTAACAAAGCCACCACGAGCCATGTTATTGCGGCAAATAAAACATATTAGCGTCCTTGTTGTCTTCCGCCCATGTGGCAATTAAAACGAGCCTCCAAGTGGTGCTAAATAACTCATTATTTATGATACAAATATTCTTTCTCTCTCGTTCTCTATAAATAGTGTCAGCAATGCCTACTGTAATAAAACAAAATGAAGCCAGCATTTGAAGGAATAAAGATAAGCTTCATTTAATTGTAAATGGTTCATTAAAGAATAAACTTTGCCTTTTGTTTTAAGAACAATAGTTATTTCTAATGACACTTTGTCTTTCCCTTATTCAACAACAATAGATCAGACATCTGCATATTCTAAAATGTGGAGAACTGTTCATTAAGTAAGGTAATAATAATAATAATAATAGTAATAATAATAAGTTAAGTAAATAAATAAATAAACATATAATAGTTAAAGACTTTTGCTTAAGATGCAATAATTTGCTAGGCCTACATTTAACGTTAAACAGATGCATCTAATTTTTGATAAAGGAAACAGTGGTTATTTGATATTTTAACAGTTCACCACATAAAGGACAGACTGAAACACTCAGTTAGACGCATGAAGAATATACACATGAGAAACACAGAAAAAATGAAGTGAAATAAAAATGTGACGTACCTTTTCTTCTCTTTGAGTAACTGAGAACAATCACAGTGTTGTCATTTTTGGCAAAATAATAATGCAAAACTTCCTAAATCGATGTAATTTACAATCGAACATTTTGGGGATTTTAGGATAAGCACATAAAAAGGGGGCGGGATACACTGAACTGCGCGCTCACGTTCATATGTGCAGCTGTTCTCTGTTTCACACACACAGAAACGCGCACACACACACTTAGTTATAACTTGTAGTTATTACAAGAAGATTCCATTTTATTATTTGCTAATTGCTTGTATTTATTTGTTTTATTATTTGGATATAGGCCCATGCATCTACACTTCACAAAGTACAAAGCTGAGGAAAAATATTACCTGTCTATGTTATATAGTCTTTAAGACAACGAAAGTCTTTAAGACTTTTAGAGACGTAGTCAACTAAATTCGGAGTTCAAAACAAGATTTAATGATATAGCCTAATTAGGTTTTTTCGTCAGTGGTCACATGCTCATACTAAAACTATCGTTGAAATATGGCCCTAAAAATGAACACAGCAGTCCAGAATAAATTTTATATAAAGCTGTAATTCATAGCAAATAAAATAAACCAGTAAAAGATTTACCCCAACCGTGAAAACTGCAAAAGAGAATTTAAAAAGTAGTGTCAGACTTTTTTAAAGAAAGTAAATAAATAAAGGGTAAATAATTCTTATATGCTAGCTTATGAATATCTGATCCGATTAACGCAAAAACCAATGCGATTTAGCATACTCGTTGGTAAACTATTATAAACGCGTAACATTGTGGCTATAGAAACATTTCTCCGCTAAAGTTTTCAAATCCACTCTCGTGCACATAGACTTGCCACTTAGTTTCCGATTACCCATTAGCGCTATCGTAATTATAAAGCTCATTATTCCTTAAACGAAACAAAATCGCAAAGCCTCCCCCACTCAGCACTGTAATCTTGCTTTATCAGTGGTTTGATGAAGAAGAGAAGCTGCCCGTAGTTAAAGCGACTCCGTGCGGCGTGTGTGTGTCTGTGTGTGTGTGACACTGATGGATGCGCCAATGGTTAGACGGACAGATGCTTGGGCGGATCTAACGGCATGCACACACGAGTGAGTGAGATTGGGCAAAAACATCCCGGATCCTTGAAAGACCGCTCTCTTCCCTTTCAATCTGCCCCTGTGAGCTCGGCGCGCGGACATTCAAGAGGTTCTGGACATTTTTAGGGGGTTTTACTGAACGCTGCGACTTCCCGACTGCCCCCCTTTTCCCGAGGACTCGACGCGGTTCCCTCCGCGGTGAGATGTGAGAGGAGACAGCAGGAGCTCCAGGACAAGACGAGGACTTCAGTGGAGGAGGCAGAGTCTGACAACAACTCACCCTCAGCTAGTAAACAGAGAGGAGTCTCACAGTTCCAATCTCCTCATCCAAAACGGACAACTTCGCCATTTCTCCACTACAAATGACTTTACACTGACTCCAATTTACGCATAAAACTGTCTCTTTCATAACACTTGCTATTTTTTGTCTTAAGTAGATGGACATATTTGAAAAAATGTTGATCTTACCGTCTTAAAAAGTCCATTCTGTGAAGAAAACAACGGATTTTCGAAAGTGACATTAGAGGAGAGAAAGGCGTCTCGGGAGCGAGAGGAAGACGCGTCTGCTTCGCCCGTTGCTGTTTTTAAATACCTGCTACAAGCCCCACAAAGAAGGCTAAAAAAGTGCTATTAGCGGCCAAGAAAGTGTTTGGCAATAGCTCAGTGATCCATGCTCTCGCAGCAGCAGCAGCTGAGGCGCAGCCCGAGTCCATCCCCTCCTTCTGATGTGCGTTATTACAAGCAGGAATACCCAATCAAACACCTATCGCATCGATTCTCTCAGCGGATTCCCAACGCGCGGGGACAAAATAAGCAAACGAGGCAGCGCGCGGGCGACAAGTCCGTCCATCTCCTCCTTCAAGCTTTTTGTCTTTCCCCCGGTTTGTTTATTATGAAAGAGATGGACGTTTGAAAGACGGTGGGCACTTGGAGTCTTTGGGATTTTCACAGAAAGCTATCGGCGACAGCAGCGCTCGTTTTTTTTTTTTTTTTTTTTTTTGTATTTTTGGGGGGGCTTTTCAAATTGTATGCGATTACTCAGAAGGATTCCTCATGGATAACACGTTTATTCGGGCGATCGCGTAAGTAAAGCTTTGATGTTTATGTTTGTAAATCACTGATCACTGCTGCCTGCCTTGCACTGGCTTTACGCTCAAACAAAAAAAACGTTAACTCAGATTGTCGATTTGCTACATGCCTATGTAAGTGTCAATCATTGCATATCTATAGTTGTTGTGTTTGTGAGCTGCTACTTTTACTATTAGAGTGCATTGGGGTTGGCTGCGGTAGGGAGAGAGAGGGGGAGAGGAAGAGAGAGAGAGAGAGAGAGAGACATATGCCTACCCACATGACATGAGCTAGCTAACCCATTCGAGATGGAAGGAGTTAATATGACAGTGCTTGATGTTTGCCTCTGTTTGCAGACTTTGAGTGACGCGATCATTTCGTTTTCCTTTAAGCTTGCCTGTTGCAGCTTCCAGCGCGGAGTGAGTGAGGATCGCACTGAGGCACGAGCGGTTTTTCTCCCCACTGTAGCGGCTCGACTCTCCGTCATATCCAAAAGACGCGCGGGGGGAAAGAGAGAGAGGAAAGAGGGGGAAAATCCCGCTTCGTCTTCATCCTCTTCAGATCTTGCCGTCTGATTTTTTGGTTTGAAAACTGCCGATACATGTCAGGCGTGTGAAAGCGCCCCAGGTGCCGTGTATCAGAGCAGAAGCGGAGCAGCTCTCGGGATCTCAGGGGCTCCTGAAAAAAAAACCCTGAAAGAGAAACATGCCGCGGAGGAAACAGCAAGCGCCCCGGCGCTCGGCAGGTACGGCTCTTCTTCTTCCTCCTCTTCTTCTTCTTCATTTGCTCTTCTTCACCTCTCAGATGTATTTTTTTATTTTTTGCACGATTTTCTTAGTAACGCAGTATGTGTGTGCGCGAGTGTTGTGAATGATTTGAAAATACTACCCACTCCTCCTTTACTTTATCAGATGGGTTTAAACGCCGAAAAACTTTTTCATTTCTTCTTTGTCTTTTTATTATAATTTTAAAAGCCTATGTTTTTTTTTAATTATTTTTATTACATTTGTGTAGGAGATTGTTTAAAGCCACATAGCAGTCAAACGACTGAATAATAGTTGAACTTCATTCAAGAGCACACTTTCACTAGCCTAGTTCTTGTACTTTGGTCAGTCCCCGTGCAGCTGAAGCTGAGTCGACTGTAAGTCTTTTGATTGTTCTCTCTTTTACACCGCTCGCTTTCCTCGTAGGGCGTAGATATTGACTCCATGAATTAGAGATCTATAAAGAAGAGCAGGAAAAAAGGGCTTGGGTGTCAGCTGACTGTCATGACTCCCTTTGATGCTCGTTGTTTTGGGGGCTTTTGTGCGAAAGCAACACATTTGATCTCATTTGACAACTTTATTTATTTTGCTCATTAATTTTCTTCTTTATTATTTCTTCCTCTCCGTTTCTGGGAATGACACTTTAAGATTATTTTGTAGCTGACGCGATGGTCTAAGAAGAGCCTTTAATGGACAATTGCCATCTTTGATTTGAAGGCTGATTGATCGCCTGTCATCCGGATGCTCTTTGATCTATTCATTCCTGATAAACATCAATAAATCACTCGCCATGGCAACGCCACAACCCCGTGACGTCACGTCTGCTTTGACAGCCATCCATTAAAACATCTTTAATTGCTGCATTTCTACTTTTTGTTTCCACATAGGCCATGAACAAGGCCACATTTACTCCTATTGCTTAAAGAGCACCAACATCAGGAACACACACAGAAACACACCGTTTAAAAACAACGATAGTTCTGCTTCATTCTAATGAACTGTCTAAAAATAACAGAATATATATATATATATATATATATATATATATCTTATGACATGTTGATTGTTAGTTGACATATTTGTTACAAGGAAAAATGATACAGTCAAAGAAACCAAAATAGAAATCTGTCAGCTTAACTGTTGCTAATGTCTTTTCGTAGCTTCTTTTTTCGAGCAGTGATATTTTTGTTGTGTTTAAAAGCTAGAATACGAACATCTTGTGATTTTTGAATCCTTGTCTAAACTTTGCTGGGAGACACAAGAAGTCTTTGTTTATTCATGGATGAATTACACTCTGTTAGTGCAGAATACGTGGCTAAATATTTATCGCTCGAACTTTCAGGTGAAGATCTAATCGGAATAAAAATAGTTTGACTAATGACAATCGGGTCTAATGGTTTCATACGGTTAACTATTTACAGTACGCATATCACCGTAGGATGATATCCTCATGAACAATCCAACAGAGGGCACACCTACAGTCTTACAAACACGCACACGCACACCCACACAAAACTAATAACCTAATCTGGAGACGGAAGAATGGTTTGCTCCATCAGTCTGACCCGTCAAAGCAACTTTGTTTCATATTTGATTTAATTGTCTCTCCTTTGACAGCCACATTCATCAATAGCTCTAATGGTCAATCAGAAGTTGGCAGAGTGAGTGCTCTCATTTTGTGTGTGTCCCCCCCTCCCACCCCCAGTATGATAGGCTTGTGCTTTACTTTATCAAAATGCTTTTGCCTAATGGACGCGCAGAGGTAGAGGGAAGGAGGGAGGAGGGGTACAAGGGTGACTGAGAGGCTTCTCATTTCAGAGGAGTGAGAGAGAGAAAAAATCAGGCATTTATGCCTTTGATGAGCGGATGAAGACAAATACAAGAGCAGGCTGAGAGCCTTTTTTTTTCTCTCTCCTTAGACGAGGCAACTTCCTGTGATATATATTTTTCTTCTTCTTCTTTTTTAACTCCCTCTCTCCTTTCTTCAAACCAATGCCCCTCCTCTACATCTCTCCCTCTTCTCCTCACTCCATCCCTCCCTCCCGGCAGCCCTCACAGCTGCAAGTTATAAGGTTGACGACTGCACTGTGGCATACAAAGAGTGATGACAAATTGATTGCGCCGTCGTGATGGAAAGAGCAAAGGAAAGATGGCAGATGATGGGCCTTGATTAGGAACTTTGGGAAATCCAGTCCCCTGCAACCTTGAGCTTTGCATGAGAAAATTTCGCCCTCCCTCACATTTTCTGTCTCTCTTTCTTTTTGCTCCCTCGTTCTGTCTCTCCCTACCTCCCTCCTCCCACCAAGTCTGGAAGGCCCGCTCAGCCGTAGAAAAAGAAAAGTTGTTTTGCCAGCTTCATTAGTGTTCACCTAATTAGCTGTAAAGCTGATGGATTCCTGACAGGCCTAATGATTGGAGATGACAAGCTCCGCACACTGTCATCCAGCCCAATTAGGTTTGCAGCTAGTTTGATGTAATCAAGTTGATATTACACAGTCCTCCATGCCTTTAGTTGGTGCACTAACTCAATTTGCTGCTGCAGGTGACAAATGGTCCGGGCTACCTGGGTAATCATGTTGGCTGGAATAGAGCGCTTTTAATGGTCAAGAGACTAAGAGCAATAATAGCGTCGAGGTGACAAAACAGAATCAAAAGGTGCGCAAAATGTGTGCTCCGAAGAAACCTGGTGGATGTGCATCACGGGCTCTGTGTGCGGACATGCGCACCTTTTTTATTGAGGGGGGGGAAATTGCCTTCTCTCCATTTGCTCCGTCTACTCTGTCTATCTCTCTTTTTTAACAGACAGACACAGCACTCTCTGTCTAGCAAGGGTGATTCACTCACCCCCCGCCAAAAAAAAAAAAAAAAACACCCATTCAGACAGGCAGTGCAGCGTACACACACCATGTTTTTGTTCACAGGCTTCAAAGCTTTTGCCAGACCAAACATATCAATTGTTTTGGGGAGTCGAAGAGAACATCAAACTTTTTTTTTCTCCCCCCTGCTATCTCTGTGTCCTCTTGGTTTTTAATATCCAAGTTACCTACTAAAGTACACTGGTGTTCAAAAGGTCCCTCAATCCCCAAGTACACATGTTACCGTGTGTCTCGATACATAATCTCAGTATGTGCATTTGAGCCGAGAGGATGTGATGTATGAAGACGGAGAACATTGATAACGGTCATTATGATAGCGTTCATAGCATGCTTAAAGTTGGTTTATCTCATCTGCGCTAGAATAAATGCCAACTCTCAGCATTGTGTTTAGAGTGACTAAATATGATTTATAAAAATATTTGGGTTGTGACGAATGTTACAGAGGCTGCGCTGAGATGGATTGCAGTTGGGGAAAGGAGCTGATTTCTGTGATTTCGCGTGCGTTTGATTGATTGCAGACAGGGAGCAATGATTAATCAAACTCAAAGCCTGTTCCGGCGAGGATATGGAGCGGTGGATACGCAGGATCATATGGGGAACACCGGTGGGCTCGTAAATACGGTCGCATGCACATAATGATCCCCCATACATATCCCTATGTGGAACGCATAGAATAGTAGAGTTTAGGTAAGATAATCATAGATAAACTCGATAAAGATAAAGAATATTGTAGTAGTAAGGTGTTTTTTTTTAAGTTTGAAAGTGATTTAAGTTCGCTCTGTGATATCTTTTGACTTTCTCGCACATTAAAGTCGTTTAGTTAGGTTTAACATATATTTTTTTCTTCCTTGCTGCAGTTTAATTACTTAAATTGTAATGAAACATCATGGTGACTTGATTATGTTAATTATCCTTATTAAACCTAGTCATTATAATCATATGCATTATTAAGAAAAAGAAAATTATGTCATGTAGACCAGTACATTCTGCTCCTCAAATGATTTGATTTTTCCCTCCAGTGTGTGTGTGTATATATATAAATATATATATATATATATATATATATATATATATATATATATATATATATATATATATATATATTTTTTTTTTTTATATAGAGTTAAAGTCAGAATTATTAGCCCCCCTAATTATTTTTTTCAACACATATCTGCACACAATAGTTTTAATAACTCATTTCTAATAACTGATTTATTTTATCTTTTCCATGATGACAGTAAATAATATTTTACTAGATATTTTTCAAGACACTTCTATACTTAAAGTTACATTTAAATGCTTAACTAGGTTAATTAGGTGTACTAGGCAGGTTAGGGTAATTAGTAAAGTTATTGGATACCAATAGTTTGTTCTGTAGACTATTTAATATATATTAGACTACTATATATATATATATATATATATATATATATATATATATATATAAAAAATTATATATTTGCACATACAGTAGGATAGAATTTTAGATGCTCTGCATGTATTATACATCATCTGCAGCTCTTTCATAGGTGTTTAAGTGTTTCAGCATTAGGTCTCCTTATCTGACAGCATTTTATAGACAGCACATGCATATTTAGTCGGTCATTTTTCGCTGGAGCAGAGTCAGTGTGTTAGATATATTGTTACACTGAAATTATACATTGTTTTGTAGTTCAGAGACATTTACTTGCTTTTATTTACATGGTGGCTGGAAGGAAGACAGCATTCGTCCATGTGTAGGTGTCCCTTCAGCAGTGTGTGTGCGTGCGTGTGTGTATATGTGTGGATTATGGGGCCTGAGTCTTCGTCATCCTCACATTGCTCTGGCCCAAACCCTGCGCTCCCAGGCAGCCAACTGACACTATGATTAGTTATGGCTGTCCTCCGCCTTTTTCACCGCAAGAAGTGAGCAACAATGAGAAGGGTTAAGAGCAGAAGAGGCGGGGAAAAAGCACAGGAACAGAGAGAAAGAGAGAGAAAGAACGAAGGAAAGAGAGATGGGGGTTAAGGGAAAAGCTGAATAACCTAACAGCCAAACGGAGAGAGAGAGAGAGAGAGAAGGGAAGGAGGGAGGGGAAGTTCTCCTCCCTGTGGATCCACACCAG